TATGCTGTTCAGATTTCTTAGGAGGTCGGATAGCACATTTCTTAATGATGTGACTGTCTTTTTTACAGTAATTGTAGAATTTTTTTGAACAGTTTGAATCATAATGCCCAAACCCCTTGCAACAAAAATGTTTAATTGTGTTCAAGTCTCTACCTTTTGACTTATCTTGTACTGCATAAACTACTGGAACAAAGATAGATCTTTGTTGTTTCACAGTGGTTTGCGTGAGAATTCATTATTCCTCACAAAATAAAGTCTTGATGCGTACATCCAATGAGGGGACAGGTTCCCAGTTCATAAGATTAGACTTGAGACTTTGAAATTTAGATCAAAGTTTCATAAGAAATTGATCCCTTTTAGTAGTTTCATGAATGGATTGAACATATATAAGACCTTCAGGAGGTAAGGTAGCTTATACTATATCAGTATATTCAGTCCAAAAATTCATAAAAATAGAATAAAAATTAGAGATAGAGAGACTGCTATATTGAAGAGTAGCTAATTCATGTTCAATCTGAAATCTTCGAGTAGTGTTGTGCTGGCTATAGAGTTTCTTTAAACAAGTCTACATCTTAACTGTAGTCTTGAAGGGTTTGAGATTCAAAATGATATTCAAGTCAATAGATCCTAAAATTCATGCCATAATTTGAGCATCCTTGACCTCTCACTTGGCATGCTCATCCTTTTTTTTATATTTGTTTGGGGCAGGTTTGCTGCCATCAATATGGCCCCATAAATCTTTCCATTTGACAAAAATTTTGAAGTGAAATGTCTAAATTGAATAATTTTTGCTATTAAAACAAATTAAGATGGACTCATACTTGTCTGTGGACATGATGCTGAGAGAACTTTATCAAAAACAAACAAGAATAAGGGACTATAATAACAACAAGAAGATTGGAACTTGAAAAAAGAAAAGAAAAACTTAAAAATTTAGAACTTATGCTCTGATACTATGCCAATTTAAGAGATTTTGAGCATAAAATTTTTTGTATGTTCTCTATGGAGGAAAATTTTCATTATATGTATAAATATATAAGTCAATTTTCAGCTCCTAAATTAGTTAAACAAATCTGTTCTAATTAAAGCTATTAAAGCATTACAAATTCTACTATTAGACATAAAATCTGCTAGCTAATTAATTGCATAATTTGCAGTTATAATTGTCTGAAATTTGTTGATTAATTACATAAAATCTGCTGTTATAATTGTAACAAATCTGCTGATTAACTGCATAATATCTGCTGATTAATTGTATAAAATCTGCTAGATTATTAATTATCAATTAATTCATTTGATATGGACGACAGCCGCACGCGGTCGCTCTCTCTCTTTAGTCTATGTCGTACACATGCATGAATTCATAACAACATTCTGCATTCGATAAGAGCTTGAGATGTAGAGAGAGTTTTTAAAGAGAAAAAGTTTTAGAGAGAGACTGCAGAGTAAGAAGTATATCTAACATATTGTTAATAACTAGAATTAATTAATTTTAAAATCTGTCTCATGTATAAAGCTGTTTGGAGACTAATAACTCTAATGGTACTAATAATTTCACTAAAATCAAAGGCAAGAAAACATTACCGATCAAATTCTGCAACTTGGTTGTTTTTTCCTACCGAAGTTTGGTGGCTAAACTCTTTAGCAATTGAACATAGGTTCGAGAAACACAAACCATCAAAAAACAGTTCTGCAATTTGGTTCTAATAATAAAATAAATTAATTTTTGGATAAAAGATTTGACATATAAACAACAAATAAGAAATAAAACAAATCAAAATATTGATACAAAATTAAATACATAAATAATAGATAAGAAACATTAGTTTTAGCTTCCAAATTTGGATAACTTACTGAAATATTAAATTATGATGCTGGAAATTGATGAATCAAATAAATGAAGAACTATGACAAGTAGGAGAAATACAAACAAAGATCAATAAAATTCATGCTATAGTAGGTTACTTTGACTAAATTGGGAAAAATAAAGTGCCTTAAGTTTTTTAACATCAAATCAATAGCAAAACAGTAAAAATATAGAAAATGCTCTTCAAAATCTCTAGTTTTCTCGTTAGCTCTATCCAAAAACGTGTTTATCATTTTTCCTCTCATTTTGTTAAACAACTCATGTGAAGAGCTAAAACACTAAGTAGCTCTTTGATACTCAAGAAAATGACACTAAGCATGAGGAGTCATAAATTCCTAAATTTTATAAAACAGATCCCTCCAACCGTTATTAAATAAGATAAATAACCTCATAAATGTAAAAAAAATTTAAATACATCTCAACATATCTATTAATCATAACACTAAAATCTAAATACTTCCAACAAATCAATAATAAAATTACATAGAAAATCTTCCTAAAATACTTTTTAAAAAATTCAATAAATTCTTAACCAGTATCTGTTATGCCAATCCCGCAAAATTCAAGGATTTTCCCACTAAACATTGAAGAATGCCTGCCTTTGTATTAGCATAACAGCATGTTGTTCCCAAAATGTTGAGCCTATTTTGCCCAATATCTTGAAGATTTGAATTCAATATATTATCTTATCAAACTGCTGTGAAAAAAAAAAAATTGTTCTCTCCTTGTAATATACTGTTATCTTTTGAAACATTGATTAACAAAATTGTGTTCTTCATGTTCAGCCTGTAATTGATCCAAAAGTAATTGTTCATGTGCTTCAGAAATTGAATTAATATCAATCTTAACGTAATAATTCTCCAACTTCTGTTCTAGCAAAAGGATGAACTTCAAATCCAATATCAGAACTTGAATCACTATTCATATGACTATCACGATAGACAGAATTGATTGCGCTCTTTTTACCCATCTTTTAAGTATAGAGAAAATCCTAGAGATTTCTACAGAATCATTGGCCTTGAAATTCCAGTAGTTGCACTTTTTGAAATTGGCAGTAGAATTTCATTTCAGCCAGTCATATTTCCTGATTAAGGAACATTTCAAAATTGGACTCGGATTCCCGGCAACACCAATATTTTCTATTTTTCCTCTTCGAGGCTGTTTCAATTCTGATGGTAAAAATCCTTCATCAATTGCACAAGAAAATTGATAAGAAGAATTTTAGCCCATACAGGAATTTTTATTCCTTTTACTTGTTTGGATAAAAAATAAAAATTACTTAGAGTAGTGATCATCCCTCCATTTCCTTCGAAATTCTAAATTTCTGATTCCTCCAAAGTTGGGGAGAAAAAGGAGGAAAGGGAAAGAGTTTAAAAGTTTCTAGGAAAATATTTATTCTATCTTTACTTTCTAACTCATCAGTTTATCAATGAAGGGTATTGATGACTATTTTTTGTAAACAATTCTTTTTTTTTCTTTTATTAAATTAAATTAACAAAATATTACAACAATCCTTTTAATTCCTTTCCTTGTCCAGATTTTTAGTTATTCAAACAAGGGAAACACTTTTATTTTGTTTTCCTTTTAAAAACCACTATTTTCCTTTTCTAGAAATAGTGTAAGCACCATTTCAGTTAGAAACTATTTGTTAGTACAGCAAACCATAAGTACCCACAATTGAAAAGAACAGGATTGCCATGAAACCACCACTCCTTTTTAAACAACACTCTTCTTGCTTCTTGTTCAAAAGCAGTGGTAAATAGAAACAAAGAACTTAACATACATGGGATTTCAAATGCCAACAGCCCAATTTTTACTCTTATCAATCAGAAGATGCTTTGCAGCTTGCCACCTAAATCTACCAATTCAATGATAACCTCCACATCTATGTTAAAGTCATACCTAGATTTCTTCTAGTCCTATACTAGTATGTTGGTATCATTTCCTACTTTTGTTGCATTTTCGATTCATCACGGTACCATCAAATCTTAACACCAGAAATATTCCTAAATTAGTAAATTTTCCGTCAAAATTACCTCATCAGCATTAGATTATTAAGGCCTGATTTTTATACCACACTGTTTTATACTTCCATTGCCAAGAAAAATCAAAATAAGAAAAAGTTGCCACATAGGCAACAATGCTGCTTCACTGTTACAGCACCGCTTGCTACCAAGCATAGATGTTGCTGATTTCCCTTATGCCAAAGTATTGTTACCTCCTGTTCATAAAGAAAAATTCCATGCATAGTTTGAGAATATGTAATATGGTTCATTGAGGATCACCTCTTCCCGACATTGCTTGTTAATGACAACCTCTGATTGCTGCTTCTTGATAACACAAGAAAGATAGAAAACCAGAAATCCAGCATCTATAAAATATATGTTAATTATGGAATTTATTTAAGATTTAAGTCAGAGTGTCCGCAAATATGTCATCTTTCATAGTCAACTCTCCAGTAGCATTAAGAAGTCTCTCTTCCAATACGAATACTGGTATAAATCATAGTTCTTTTCCTTTAACTCTGACACTAAACTAAGTAGAGTTTATATCACATAGATGCTGAGATAGAAAGATTCACTTAGTCCTCGGGCTGTGAACCACTGTCACTCGTATGGATGTATGTACCTCCATGCCTAGAAGAGAGCTTTCACTGGGGATTCAAAAAAGATGGGGGTGATATTGGCATGTATTCCCCACGGATAAATTCCATTGAGAGTGTACATTCGTTTACCTCTATTCTTATACTTGGCATTCACTATCATAAGACAGCCTTGGTATTCCTCCCACCTTGATTTTTTTTAAAGACAATGGATTTTCTGCTAATAACAGATTCTATTCCGAGAAAAGCATCTCAAAAGAGAAAAATCACCCTTATCTTATAGTCTTTCCCTCAGCTATTTTAAAGCATGTACACGTGACATCATTGCCACCAGTTCATTTTATAAAGGATTTCAACCATCTAATAATTAAGATATTTATAGATTTTAAAATGAATTAAGCAAATGAAATTCATTTGTTCCTAGCAAAGGAATGAATAGAAGTTTCTTTCTCCTTTTAAAATCTCTTTCTTTGAGTAGCATACAATGGTTTTTTAACGTTTTCTGATCATACATTTGCAACTTTGTTGCAGTCTCTTGTTACACACAGGATTTACATACAAGCTACAGGTTCAATAACTTATTCTATGTTAACTGTTGCCATCTTTTTTTCAATTCTTTTTTATCCACTTCTCATGAATTTCTATTCATATATTTGTTGCTTTCCAGATGATCAATTTACTGTCAGTGAGCATCAAGATCTTTCTGTTTATTTATCAGAATGGTTACTGCCACCACTAGATTCCTTGGACAAATTTGTGGTGAAGGATGTAAGAAATGATTATCGGTTTAGAACATGTTTCAGGTAGAGGGCCATACATGTGGATAATTCTGTAATTGGTCACATGCAGGAAGGCATCTTCATTGTTTCCTGAAGTCTGTTTTAGGACAAATGGAATAAGATCCACCTGCCTCAGCCCTCTTATTTCGTGATCTCTCTTATGGTGCTATGCCCAAATTAATGTATGAGATGATTTCTTCAATGCTTATATTTCTGCATATAGATGGCCACACAGGTATTTTTTTTTTTCTTCTTCATACTTGTTTCTTGGAAGGAAAATATGTTGTTAGGATTTTAAGCATCTTTACTGGTTTTAAAAAGCCTAATAAGCAAGTGCTTTTATCATCTTATTCTCTAAAAGCTTTGATTAATTTCTTTGGGAAAATTCTTAAAACGATTAGCTCTAGTACAAAAGGTTACTACATTCTAAAATTCTATCAAAATACTAATTATGTTTAACATGTCAAAAGTTAGCAGAGCCAAATGGAATGTCGAAAATGTCCGACCTACCGCTATGGATATTAATTCAAAATTCATTAAGTTTTTGGGTATTATATGGTAAACACTACGATTTTGTGGACTGGTTGGAGTGTTCTAATCCCACCTTTATGGTTACCAAAAAAAAATGCCGTTTTGTCTCTTTCCAAAAACTTGGGAATGAGCTTCTTGATCAGTTATTTAGCTAAAAGAGCTTTTGTGGTTAAAATATATTACTAACCTCGAAGTATAGTGTAATTAACTGCTTGGTTCTCTTTAATAACTTATGTAACACTAATAAATTTTTTTCAAAATTTATTACCTTATTTGTTTCAAATATAGAATTATGTAATAAAACTTGTAATGTAATGATACAATCAAAACTGTAATCATGATAATGTCTCACCTACACCATCAATTATATAAAATACAATTAATTGCATTACAAAATTATTAAACCTAATCAAACATATTTTAAGTGGTAATATGATAAATCTTCTAGATTAATCACCTATTTCTAGTTATTAGTTCTTTGCTAGTAGTCTGTAAGGATTCTGACATTAAACTGAAAGAGGATGACATTTTAGACTTATTATAACAGCTAATGACATGGATCATATTTATGCGCAGAAGGAGCTGAAGGTGGATGATATGGTTTTGGATCTTCTATTGGTTAGTCTTTAAGTATGCCTAAGGAAGAATCCTAGTAGGCTGCAAGGAAGCAAGAAGTTGTTGATAAAAAGGTTTTAGCAAAGGAAGACAAATCACATAATGAATAGACCTCGGTACACTTGATGTTTGGATTTGAGTCAATTGGAGAAAGTCCTAAAGGATCGATCTAGGTCTAGGAAAATGAAAGTATTGCTTGTATTTGGTTTAGTCCTCATTGTATTTTTATTTGAATTCGTATCTGAAATCTTTGTATTAATCTTGACCTGTGTAATTAAAATGAGTTGCTTAATCTCACTTTTATTCCACCTTGACTTTTTTAAAATGGAGATTCAATTAATATAAATTGAAGTAGGAACTGAATGTTTGTCCAAAAGAAGAATTGATGTATAGATGAGAGCTGAGATAAAATATAAAACAGAAAAATGTTAAAAGAGTGATAAAAATAAGATGTGATAAAAGTAAAGTGCAATCTCAAGTAATGCTAGAGTAGGGATGTGTTGATTTCTTATTTTTTCCATCCTATTTTTTTATAAATTTTTTGTTATATTAGAATCTCTTTCTTTTATGCAGATGTTTTTTTGATTATTTGGTACCTAATTACGAAATTACATTGATAGCCCTTACTCATGTTCGAATTTGTCTGAGAGCTAGATTTGTCTCATTTTTTCCTTGCCTTCAGCTTTCTTCAAGTTAATTTTTGCTATTTCAAGAGTTTGCTAAGCTTTTTGTAGATCAATGTCACTACTTTTCTCATCATCATTTATTAAAATAGTAATCTTATAAATTCATCCTTCGAAAGAACCGGATATGATAATTTTTCATCATCCAATTCGGGTAAGAATTAACCAAACTAAATGAAGACATAAAAAAAAAAATCTATATGTTATCCACACGTATATCAATGATTCTACCTATAACAAATAATTTACTTGATTTCTGATTATAAAGTTGTCGTAACTAAGGAAGGCTTACAGCAAAACATAGAACCAAAAACTGTAGTTGATGGCAACACACACAAAACAAACCTAGATTTTGACCATCTAAAACCATTTCAAATCCCTCCACCATTTTTCCAAAAAATTTACGCAATTAAAGAAGGAAAGAGAAGATAAGGAGATCTTAAAAACTTTTTGCAAAGTCGAGCTAAATATTCTTTTACTTAATATAATTAAGCAAGCACCTCGATATACCAAATTTTTAACGAAGCTGTGCACCAACAAGAAAAAGCTTAGTTGCAATGAAAGGGTAAGTATAAGGAAAACTGTTTCAGCATAATTAAAAGGAAACTACATCCTAAATGCAAGGATCAAGGTATGTTTGCTATTTCATGCAAGATAGACACTTTAAAAATAAAGGCAGGCATGTTTAATTTATCATAAATGTCATATCTTTGTCCATTTATTCAAGGTTAAATGTTAGTCCATTAAAAGAAACAGGTGTTATAATTTAGTTACTTGATATATCGATTGTTTATCCTGAAGGAATTCTAAAGGATGTACTTGTCAAAGTTGGTAATCTCATTTTTTTCTTGTTAATTTTTATCTGTTAGACATGGAAAATGATAAATCATCTAATCTCTCTAAAATTTTGCTAGGAAAACTTTTTCTTAGTACAGCTAAAACGAAGATAGATGTGCAGGAGGATACACTCACTATGAAATTTAATGAAGAAATTGTAAAATTTAATGTTTATGATGATATGAAGTATCCTAGTGATGTGTCTTATGTGTCTGGTGTTGATACTGTAGATCCTATATGTCAAAAATATTTTGATTTAAACCATGATAATAAGTTGTATTTTCTAATAATTTTGATGTGGACAAGTTAAAAATTTTAGCAAAAGATTTTATTACTGAAGAGAATCTATAAGATATAGTGTTCAAAGTGGAGGCACTTAAACCTCGAAGGAGTAATGCATCATGTGTTAACCTTCCTATTTTGGACACAAAACGTCTACATTTTATTTTTTCGGCACCAAAATTGTCAAACCACTGTCTGAACAGTTGAAATATGTGTTCTT